CAGTTGACGAGGGTATATTGCTGCATAGCGGTCCTTCGGATGAGACCGTATAAACCGAGGCCCCGTGTCACAGCAGGTGTGACACGATAAAGATCCCTCCCTGCTCAAAGGCCTTAAGTGCCGAGCATAGGCCTAAATTTGCAGCCCTTCACCGGCAATGGTGACGTCTCCATATCAGTGAAATATTCTGGAGAGGGACGTTAAACAGTATACAATCAATCAATATATTGCTGCATAAGTTTACTTAGGAAAGTTTAAGATTGAAAAGTAAAAGTCATCAGGCTTATCATAAGGCTTTGTTGTTTGATAATGAATTACGTTCCCTTCTAGTAAAATATCCAAATATGAAACAGATGTGTCAGACTCTCATGTATCTTTTATTTCAAGCTCATCGATAAAAGAAAGATATGGAGATAACGAACAGTATTCAATCTCAAAGTCCATTAAAAAAATACAAAATAGGAGCAGAGCAAACACGGACCACCGAAACATCAAATGTGGGATCAGGTGCCATGGAGGAGTGAGCATCTCCTGCTGACAGGTCACATCGGGAAATAACTGAAAAATCAGTGTATAAATAATGGACTTACAATTAAAATGAAAAACGTGTATATAGTGTCGACATAGGAATGGAAATGACTATTGTTATTTTACAATATGTCATATTAGATCTTAATGTCGAGTTGAAGGCCAGAAACAAGTGTTCTCTTATTTTGTGAAGATTTTGAACAAATTCTGCTTCTTATGAAAAAATAGGTCTGCCAATAACGGGGCATATTGTCAATCAAAAGCTCGAGTATGTTTTTAAAATCAACGTCAAAGTACTTGCGCACGTACAATCAAGTTGTTTCTTTTTTAACAAAATATTTTTGCAAATGAGAAATAAAAAGGTAAGTAATATTATGAGTTCCATTTTTATTGAAAATCCAGACATCGATGATTTCAGAAAAGAAAGCTTGGACTTTGGATTAGTAACATTTTATTTTTATTTCTATGTTATTTTCTTTTAAAAAATACCTTACCAAGTTTGTACATGATGTGTACCCTATTTTGCAACAAATATATCGACATTTTTGAATTTTCTTCCGTTTCAGAATGTTTTAAATATTTATATAGAAAACTATTTTCTTTATTTTACAGTCCAAGGTGAATTTGAAGGACTCTTCTTGACTGAATGAAACTTTATTTAAAAAAAGAAATGAATCATAAAAAATGAATACACTTAAACAAATTCTATACGTGTAAATGAGGTCAAAGATATGCAATTATTCTAAACATAAGTTTGCAAAGAGTAATGATTTTTTCTCACTCTTATGTGTTGCATCTGGTTGTAATTTCAATGACGATGACAGAATGAAAATCGATTAAATATTAAACAGTCACATATGTTCTTATATGAATATATATCAAGGTTGATGATAAATACCCTTCTAATCTTCAATCATCTCCAAAATCATAAGTTCATATTGTAAAACATGAGACTGATGAGGAAGAGAACATTTAAAAGGAGAGTATTTCTTTTTACTTTGATTTGTTTAGTTTTACTTGGAATCAAGCAAATGCTAGGTACGATTATTGTTGATATTTTACCTTTAAGTGTATACTTAACACAAACAAAACAATAATATTTGGATTTATACTGAGTATTTATTTTTTGACTTTTTTTCGATTTGAAATGACATTAATGATAAATCCTTAAAATATAAAGACATCTTACGTTTCCTTTGGTGCTTAGATAAAAGATTTCGTATCGCTTTCTGTAAAAATCTATTCTATTACAATTTTGCGCATCTTTATAATTTTCTTTAAAAAAAACTATAAAATTTCCCCCACTACGTTTACCTGGTAAACGTTATTTAGATATTTAAATATAAATCTTTGAGAAATGTTGCTGATTTCTAAAAGAAAAAGGGGGGGTGTTATTTATTCTTCATTAAGGACTCGATTTCCTACATGATTTTGAACAAACGCTATGTTATCTTATACCCCATTCATACGACGAAAATTTGCTTATGTGTGCAAATTTACATATGAGTAAATATACACAAGTAAGTAAAAGTTAATTTGCTATGCGTTCAGACGTGATTTATGTACTATAAGTAAATCCTTGTATATTCATATAAAATAAGGAGATCCACAGATTCAAAATTGTGGATTTTTATAGAAAGGTTATTTTCGTACTATCTCGGTATAAGAATAACTTTTGAATGTTCCTCAAAGAAACTAGGGAGAAATCCTATCCATTTATTTTTTGGTACGGATAAAAGCGAACTTCTACGAGGGTTGTCCCGTAAAATCGTGGACAAGTTGTCTAGTGTAAAAAATAAACATCACTGCGTTCTGAAATTTTCACTATTATTTAGTTCATATTTTAGTAATATACACAGCAAATTTCAGATAAATATTTGCATAAATAAACAAATTATGAGATTTTATGCCATGTATTGTATCACCTTAAGGCGCATGGATTATAACGTCAAAGTGGCTAAAACAGCGTCACGTTTTTTCTTTGCTGAAAATGAAGTTGGGTTAGTCAGACTTAAATTTAGGAATTTCATTGATACACATTCTTTAGTCTCTATAAACAGCCAAAGAACCAACTGGCACCCTCATGCGATCTTCTGAATATTTATCAGTAAGTTACGGACAATATTCTCACCATCATTCAACTTATAGAAAATCTCATATCGGCGGTCTACTGTGACAGCGTCTTTTGCTATTACATTAGGAGTTTATCCGTATCTTTTGTACTCCCCAGGGACTCGATCAAAAAAGAATTCGCTAAGAAAACTCCTATTTCATTTGTATACTTAAGATATGGTGATATTTTTATAATCTTTTTTCTTCTATGGTTATTTCAAGTCTCTAAAAGTGTCATTACAACATCGAATTAAAACGGAACTGCTCTCCGGTGCACCGTAACGTCATAAAGCGTCGCAATTTTTCGTGTGTTTTGTTTACCACTTTCCCATTTCGAATGCTCGAGAAACTGCCAAAAATTAACCAAATGCCTTAAAATTTTTACAAAGACTACAAAAATTGATTATGGAATTGAATTAGGATAATTTTAATCCAAATCTTATGTATTTAAAACTTTTATTTTGAATTCAAACTTATGTATTGTTTAATAAAACCTTGCTTTTTTGTCCGTGCTCCGTAGGACAATACCACGTGCACATTCAAGCATAATAAAATCTTTATTTTTGCCTATATTTTATCAAAACAATTATCATGCACTTAAATATGATAAATAAACATCTACTGAAATTTCCAGCTTAGTGCGCCCAATACTTTTCGAGAAAAACGCTTTGTCCACGATTTTACGGGACAACCCTCGTAGAAAAAGTTTACACACGAAAAAAGAAAAATTGATTAAAATCATTGTTTAAAGTTGCATAATGCTTTGGTCTCGGTCCTTAAGACTTTAGAGCGTTCGGTGTTAAGAAAAAGATTGCTGACTACTGGTTGGTGTCTTCAGCACAATAAGGGACGACTGGAAATCTTTTTGGTGTTTGGAAATCTACAGTACATCAAGTTTGCGAGTTCATTCTGAAGTATCTGCTTGAATATTTCATATATTTTCCGGAAGAATGAAATGGGCAATCGATTTAAAAAAAGAATTAAAACAAAACAAATACGTGAATTGGAAATAAATACGAATCCCCATGAATCATGGAATACTAAAAAATGCTTATTTTCAACAGTGCTATTGACATTCCTGTAACATCAATTTATATGTCTGTATACTGACGTATAAATTTATGTTACAGGAATGTTAATAACACTGTTGAAAATAAGCATTTTTTAGTCTTCCATGATTCATGGATTCGTATTTATTTCCAATTCACGCATTTGTTTTGTTTTAATTTCGGTTTAAAATCAAAGAAAGGTAGAAGAAAGTCAATCTGTAATGGGGCCAGCCCGATTGATGCAATGCCTATACCTATCAAAGCTCCGGAGCATTCCCATGAAGACTACTCAGTACTGTACTTAAATTGTAAGGGGTCTACTGATTGATCCTGCAGGACACATGTTTGCGCGACCACAGCTATATTTTTATAATTTAGAGGCATAATCATAGGTTTGCCAGAAAGGGTGCAAGATGCACACGTTTTTGGAAATTCAAATTTATCTCAGGGGGACTGTAGATATAGTGTGGATCCTTGTTTTCAGAGTTGAAAAAGCCATTTTTTGAAAGATCTGTGCTAGTACAACCTGGCGTATCCTTTATAGTCTTTAAAGCAATACCCTTATCACAACTCTAAATTTTACTTTCAGCTGTCCTTGAAGTACATGTACAGCAAAGATGGCAATAAAAAATCCATTTTTTTTTCTTTTGCTTTCTAGCCGCCATGTTAACAGACTGATATTTTACACTTTACAATGTATAAACAACTGAAAAAACACTTAAAATGTAGATTTATGCAATAAACAAAACAAAATACATACATAAGTAAATTTGCTGCGTGTTCATACGACAAAATTTACTCACAAGAACTAATAATTTGCGACAACATGTATGCAAAAGTTAATTTGCACCTAGTCCTGACCAGGTGTAAATTTACTCAACTGTGCAGAATTTACATGTGAGCAAATCAGTTCATACGACAAAAGTTGCACATGTGAGTAAATTTACATATGAGTAAAATATACTGAAGTATGCAGATCATGTCGTATGAATGGGGTATTAGCTGATGAAGCTGTTATGAAGCTGATGGAATTGTTCAAATGTTTGCAAAGATTTTACCATATTTTATGCTATTTCTGAAATATAGCGTATGAAGTAAAACATACAATTTTAAAGTCATAAATTCACGAAATGCTGGTGGGTTTTTTCCTGATATCTCGACAATGAAGTTCTCTATATTGATTCTCGTAGGTGTCAAAGAAAGAAATAGCATATTTAATAAGCACACGCGTAAGAGAATTTCCCTTATATAAGATATTATCTGAAGGGATAATTTTTAATAAATTAAAAATCATAAATTATTTTGCAGAATTTGGAGAGTTTTATAAAAATGGAGCAACTGTAAAAGAAAGGGATTTGTCGATTCGCAACATGTCTGACTTTTTCATAGAAGAAATTCCTAACATGCAAAACAGCCACAGAAATATTTCTTACAAAATCTTGGTTAGTGCAAGTTTTTCATTAGAATTCATTACTGACGTAAAAGTTTCTTTTTTAGAGCGAAATGACCATACACATTTAGAAATGTTTTGACTATTCAATTACTTTAATAAGCCAATTTAAAAAAAAAAAATATTTGTTTGCCTTCTCCAGACCGAATGAAAGAGCCTAACTCAAAACTTTTTGTACCCCACCAGGAAACATTTTTTTATTCATTCCAAAGTTATAATTTATTATCCCATTTTATTAATAACTATTGATAACGAATTTTCCGTTGCCCGATCATGACAAGGAGCACTGTGGGTATGATCAGTCGAGAGGGAATATTTAATCCTCTATGGTACCTGATCCCATATCTGGCCAAAGGATCATAAAACAGAAATAGATTTCAGTCAAATTTTAAATGCCTGTAAAATATGTTTATTAATTATTGAATGTATCACAACATTTGCAGATAACAACACTTTTGTAAATTAATATTTAAACTTATTTCAATTTTGATTTGCTTGACTTAAATTCCAAAACATTTACATACGGTATGAATACTTTGTCTTAAAATTAAGACGTTTCATGATCATGGGGTCTGAAGTTTTTTAGGCCCTTGTTTGTTCTATTCCTGATTTCTATTCTTTTTAATGGACTGTTAAACATGATTGATATTCTTTTTTTCTCTCTCAATATTTCATTCACATTTTGACCGACCATTTGGGAGATGTCTTGCTGTGTAGATTGTTAAGTTATTCAGATCACTACATGAATTAACTAAAACTGGAAAATAATACTGAGTTTAAAAATAAATTGTTTTTCGTTGAACCACATCTGCGCACATAATACATAAATTTTATTTTTGAAATTCATTAAGATGTGACGTGTATTTACCTTTATACACGTCTTTTCAACTGATCGGTGCTATGTTCCTTCGGCTTTTAACTTTGTCTTCAAAATATCAATGTACGTATACACACGCTTTTCTTCTCCAACTTCTCTTTCTAATAAATTAGGTTTTTAGAATCGTAAAGGAAATCAATGAAAGTTAATGCATTGTGAAAAGGTATTTACAGCTGTAATCATAGGGAAGCATACATTAAAGAAAAAAAATGAAGATATAAAACTGATAAAATCGTTTGCTTTAATGTCACATCTGTCATAATTAATCCTATTATGCATGTATAATTGTGTCTATCTGAAGAAAATTCAAACAAGGTTTTTCAAATAGTTAATAATGATGTTAAAAAGGCTGTCCTCATTTTCGTGTATTCAATGGAATCAAACCCCATTTCATCCCTTTTACATTCTCTGAAATTGAGAAAGAAAGAGTTATTGCCAAACTATAGCACTATATGTCTTGATCTTTCTCTAGATCTGTTAAACAAACTTTGGCCCAATCATTGCTTGGTGTCATTTAACATGTTCAGCACAATTTAAATCCTCGGTATAAAAAACTGTAATTTTTAAAACAAGTTATCATATAAATTATGGTAGTTTATTGAAATAGGATTTCCTAAACCAAAATTAAACATATATTGTAATTATTTGAATGAAACATATATATGGAGATAATGAACAGGCTCAAAAGGTTCATTAAGCAATACAAAATAGGAGCAGAGCAAGCACGGACCTCCAAAACATCAGAGGTGGGATCTAGTCCATGGAGGAGTGAGCATCCCCTGTCGACCGGTCACACCCGCCGTGTGCTCCTTGTCTTCATTGGACAATAACGGGGAAATCCATCGTCAATTCAGTGTGTAAATAATGGACTTAACAATGAAAATGAAAAATGTTAGTCAGCATTTGACTCAATGATAAACTGTGAAATAATAATTTATCCTGATTTAATCCGCAACCCCCCAGATTTGTGACAATGGAGAGAGTTCAGTCCGTATATTTCGATATGGCGATGCAGATGTATTTTCATAGTATTAAAATTTCAGTTGAATTTCAAGTTAAGGGGGCACGAGGGGGAAAATCCCTGTACATTTCAAAAGTCATTGGACCAAGATGTATATGTATGCAAAATATTAATCAAGTCCATACCTTTTACAGTCTAGATATAAGGTTTGACAGACGGACACACAGCTACATTGTAGATACATGTATTGGGTAAAGCAGGCGCGGATCCAGAATTTTTTTTCCAGGGGGGAGGGGTCCACCCTAGTCCTCAAAAAATATTTCAACCCAGAAATTTCTTTTCTTGACAAGCAAAAAAAAAAACCCTAAACTCGTCAAAGCTCCAAAAACCTCTTTCGAGGGGGGGGGGGGGGGGGGGGGGTTAGTCGATGACCTTGAATGCTTCAAAGATTTGACTTTTCATACCACTTTCATACAAATTCGTCTTTACCAGGGGGGTCTGCGTTTTCCGACGGGGGTCCAAGTTAACTTTTTTCTTGCTTGTGTATATAAATTTAATAACCTTGCAAATTCCAGGGGGGTTCCTGACCCCCCCCCCCCCCTCTAGATCCGCGCATGGGGTAAAGTAAAGTGATTTCTACGCGTCGCCCTGCTCCGTAAGCGACACAAACTTAAATAGATAATTAAGATTTTAGATAAGTGATATAATTTGCATAATTATACAGAAGTTAAAGTGTACAATTTTCTTATTTTCAGACACCCCCTAGAAAAATAAATGAATTATACCTTATAAAACGATTGCAGAAATACAGAGAATCATGCAAGGGAAGAGAATTCAATTTTGGAAATGAACCACTGTATACCATGAAGTCCCATTTTAAAATGAGTACGTCTCATCACATCTTATACTGCAGTGTTGAAAAAGCTGGCTCAACTTTCTGGAAGAGGGTGCTTCAGATGTTGGATTCAACAAACATAGATAGTCCATTTCAAATCCTGCCATTGCATGTCAACGATAGAGGACAGTCTTTCTATGAACACAGAGTTTACAATGTGTTGGCTGCATTAAGAACAAATTTCGTATTCATGTTTGCAAGAAATCCTTTCAACAGACTCCTATCGGGGTATTTAGACAAAGTATATACAGCAAACCCTTTTTACTGGAACCTTTTTGGGGAGCAGATAAGACACCACAAAAGAAATTCCATGTCCTGTCATAGCAACATCACTTTCCAAGAAATTGTGGAATACGTCATCAAAGCGGAAGGAAAGTTCATAAAGAAAAGAGATCCACATTTCATGGCAATGTTTGACAAATGCAAACCTTGTCAAATTCCCTATGATTTTATTGGGAAAATGGAAACATTCGAGAGTGATGTTCAGTTTTTGATGAAAACTTGGAATATTTCTAAATTCAGAGGAATAGCTATGAAACAGAATGTTGTTGATGATATATTTCTTGATGTCGCAACCTCTTTAGAAGACCGAAGACAGCTGATATTGAAATGTATTTCACTGCATGAAGCCTACCGCAGATCATGGAAACATATGCAAATCAAAGGACTCATCAGCGACAAACAAACGTATCCATTCAATGAAATAGAGTCTGCAAACATTACCCCTATCCGGCTAATTAAAGTTATGAAATTAGCTCACTTAAACTCTGACCCCAAAGAGCTTATGAGACAGAAAGCAAAATATTTTAACAATATCTATAGAACAGTACCTCAGAAAACTCTAAGGATGCTTACTGAAGCTCTAAGACCTGATTTTCATATTTTTGATTATAATCCTTTTCCCAAGGCTATATTTAACGAAAGAAAACGTCAGCTTAATCATTCAGATATATTTAATTTTTGAACACAAAGAATGCGTGTTTTCAAATTACATGTATGTCCCAACACATAATAAACAAATGGAAAATATATCATTCCAGCGTTGTTTGTCGTTCTTTCCATGCAACACAGTATTTGAACATATTTTCTTTTCCCTATGTCTGTGAAGATTGGCTAATTTTTGTATGAGATATATATATAAAAAGGATAGTATTCAATCTCTACGATCCATTGAGACAAAATAAATTCAAATTGAAAGCTAATACAATTTACCAAAAAAAGGCCCCAAGACCATAAACTGAGAATAGACTTAGGTCAAAATTTCAAACTATTATAACTTTTTAAATAATTTTGATATTGATACAAAAATTTTCGTTATATATTTGAAAAGAAATATTACAAAAAATTGCAAATTTTAAAGCAAATACATTGAATAAAGCTCAATTTACAAAAAAATCAAAATTTTGACTTAAGTCTGTTCTCAGTTTATGGTCTTAGGGCCAGAGGTGGAATTGGATGCCATGGAAGAGTAAGCATCCCCTGCTGACCGGTCACACCCGCCATGTGTTCCTTGTCATGATCAGACAAACGGAAAAATTCGTAGACAATTCAATGTGAAAAAAATGATTTAACACTTGTATGAAAAACATAAATTTACAACTTTATGATAGGAATTTGCTGACAAGGTCATTAACAGACAATGTTGACTTTAAAAGAGACTGTTGATACCTTTGTATCATGAATTTGTTTGGGTGTAAAATAAAGTTGCCACCCGGCACCACGTGTGCCGACGGAAGAGGACCTGACACCTGAATCGGTGTTTCGGGCACATTTTAGGAATGTTCCAGGGTCTGCCACTCATCAGAGGTCCAACCCAAATTAAGTTATCATATTTTAGTTGTATATCTCTGGCATGGTGGTGTTTCATGCAATAATATTTGTAGTGGACATGTATTCTGTTACTGTTCCACTAATTAAGCTTTGTGAATAAAAAGCTTTATGTTTTGGATATGTCAATGAATAAGACAATATCAAGGAGAATTAATATTCTCTGTGGTGCGAGCTTAAATTGTTTGCTCGTCTTGTTTTGTGGTACATGTTGTACTAAACGGCTCTTAGATAGAGCTGCAGTTGAGATTCGTTAGAATCGGGCGGGGCGACCGTCACATAGTCGCGCTGGAAGAGTTAATGCACGTGGCACGAGACAGCGCATTGGTTGTTTGTTTGGAGTGTTGGGTAATTGACAGCCACCTGTTCCCTGATATCTGCTTTGCATGCTTTTCGCTATCACGGATTGTCTGATTTGTTAATTGATATGCTATCTGTTCGAGTTGTAAAATAAAGTTGCCACCCGGCACCACGTGTGCCGACGGAAGAGGACCTGACACCTGAATCGGTGTTTCGGGCACATTTTAGGAATGTTCCAGGGTCTGCCACTCATCAGAGGTCCAACCCAAATTAAGTTATCATATTTTAGTTGTATATCTCTGGCATGGTGGTGTTTCATGCAATAATATTTGTAGTGGACATGTATTCTGTTACTGTTCCACTAATTAAGCTTTGTGAATAAAAAGCTTTATGTTTTGGATATGTCAATGAATAAGACAATATCAAGGAGAATTAATATTCTCTGTGGTGCGAGCTTAAATTGTTTGCTCGTCTTGTTTTGTGGTACATGTTGTACTAAACGGCTCTTAGATAGAGCTGCAGTTGAGATTCGTTAGAATCGGGCGGGGCGACCGTCACATAGTCGCGCTGGAAGAGTTAATGCACGTGGCACGAGACAGCGCATTGGTTGTTTGTTTGGAGTGTTGGGTAATTGACAGCCACCTGTTCCCTGATATCTGCTTTGCATGCTTTTCGCTATCACGGATTGTCTGATTTGTTAATTGATATGCTATCTGTTCGAGTTTAAGAGCTCATTTAAGTTTCTATTTCGCTTGTATCCAATGATAGGAGGCATAGGAAATAACTCAGAACACTGTTTATCCTTTTGAATTAATTTCCAATGTTTGCGTAATATTTTCCCCAGTTTTCTGACTGCAGGATTGTACTTGGTAACAAGCACAGAGGGCGGTCTGTTAGATTTAGTCTTGCTATTTTTTAGCAATTCCTGTCTATTGATTGTTTGCGTTTCTGAAACAATACTGTCTATTTCAGATTCCGAGTACCCCCTTGATATAAGTCGTTCCTTGAACTGTGAAATTAATTGTTTGGTTTTGTGTGGGTCAGAGGTGTTCCTCTTATGACGGATAATTTCCCCCTTAATAAATCCTCTGAAGGTAGCATTGGGATGTGCACTGCTGCGATGCAGATACATAAATGTTTCTGTAGGTTTGATGAAAGTTTCAAAGTCTAAGACTCCGGACTGTTTAAATCTCTGTCCTTTGTAGACTTTTGTGTCCAGAAACACAGTCTCGTTTAAGTGAATATTGTATGTAAATTTCAGGTATTTGTGCTCCTGATTTGCAAGTTCAAAAAACTGCAGTATTTCACTTTCTGTGGCGTCCATTGCCATAAACCCGTCATCTCTGTATCTAAAGTGGGCCAGAATTTTGTTTTTATGATTGTATTTTTTGATAATATTTTCAAGGATATCAAAAAGGCGCAGGTCACATATTTCGGGGGACGGGACCGCCCCCATACTGGCTCCTAATATTTGTTTATACAGGTGACCATTAAATTCAAATTCATTGTTCTCTAACAGAATTTGTAACAATTTGATTAGGTAACTGATATCTGGGATCGGTATTGTAACATCAGTTTGTTTCAATTTTGTGAGTGCTTTTGCTGCAGATTGGAGAAGTTCCGTGGCTGTCATGTTAGTATACATGGAAGTTACATCATAGGTAACTAGCCGGGTTTCGGGTTTCAAATGCAGGGATTCAACTTTGCTGATAAAGTGTTTGGTATCTCTGACATATGTGTGTTGTTTTTGTACTAATGGCACAAGGAAGTAGTCTATGAAGTGCCCTATAGGCATTGTAGGGGAGGCGCATTGAGAGATAATTGGCCTCCCCGGTATACTCATTCCACGCTGCAGGGCCTCGGCCCCTTTGAAGTTTTCAATGTCAGAAATGGAGATTTTATGTATTTTAGGTAGTAAGTATAACCTGCCAGGGCGGAATGTAAGGGACTGCGACAGAAATCTGTGGGTAATACTGTCGATTTCAGAATTGATTTGCATTTCACATACAATCTTGTTGATCAGATCGTGTATTTCATGTGTTCTGTCTTTGTGAATTGCGGCGTAATGAATGCCGTCATTTAATTGTCTTAGTCCCTCCGCTGCATAATTTGTGCGGTTCTGAACTACAACAGTAGTAGATTTGTCTGCCTTTTTTATTACAATGTTTGTCTCGTTTCGGAGACTGGTCAGCGCATTCCGCTCTTTTTTTGTTAAATTATCTCTAAATTTGTGAAAGTGGATTTTACATAGCTCCATTTTGGTTGCATAGAGATAATTTTCTAAAGCTGTGCACGTTGTGTTGCCGGGATTATAATTCGTATTGATATATAAGGGATGCAATTGTTTATCATCCTCATTTGTATGAAAGAGTATCTTGCATCTCATTTTCCTGGCTAGTTCATTGAAGCTACAGATCAAATTCTGTCTTATATTTTGCGTCCCTGGTGTGGGAATAAATTTGAGACCTTTGCTAAGTAAAGATGTTTCAGCTTCAGACAGAGTATAATCTGAGAGATTGAGAACATTGTTATTAGTGTTCTCTGACAGGCGTTTAATACGCCTGATATTGCGAGCTTTTCTGTTGTTCGCTCGTCTTATTTTATATTTTTTCTGTTTTTGCGTTTTGGAGAGCCTCCTGCTAGGCATGTTAGCGTAGTGCCGATCTGGGAGCCAAATCTGCATTGATTGCTAAGAAAAGTGAACAAGGTATGATCAACAGGGGTTCCCTGGGGGTGTAATTCAACCGCGCAGATTAACATGCGGGTTTATCTTGGGGCACCGGCAGGCATGCGTTTACTTCTTAGGTGCAGTAAAGATCTGTGAATACCTGCATGATGCAATAGGTAAAAAGCATGATTATATTGTTTGACATCAAGCTTGCTGCGGGACAAAGTATAGGTTCTGTCCAGCAGGATGGGGATATGGTGTGTGTTCAAACCCTGAGGTTAAGAGTGACACTGAGAATTCTTGTAGATGTTGCAGTCAGGTTAATTTCTAGTTGGCGCACATTGTGCAATTGTAATTGTAAATTCCCTTGTTTTGGTGATTATATCAATAAACGCCTTTTTATGCACTAAGAGGTATGCCAAACCATACCTATAGTTGAAGATGGAGATAGACTGTGACTGTTAACTATGATTTATTGTACATATATTTTAATATGATCTCAGCGGAAATTGAAATTCACAATTTCACATGGATGCTAATAAATCAAACTCAACACCTATATGCAGCTCGGTCACATTTCAATAGCGGGGAATTACGCTTAATTAGGACGTACCCCCCACAAAACTACAAAAACACTTTTTATAAGATCCAAGTGTCATTAAGAATTCTGAATTCACAACAAATGTCCTCAGGTCTCCGTAAATCCACCAAAAGCAGTTTTATCCCTCCATTGCTACATTGGAATATGGCAAACATGGATAACAATGACATGGAGACTGACAATCTTGATTTGACGCACAGCTACCCTACACCGGGCCAAAAACAAAAGGACACACCACCCGACTACATGTACGATAGTGATCCTGATCTGGACCTAAACGAAACAACACTCGTCGCATCAGCGAGTAAAAGTGAAGAATACCAAAAAATGGTGGAGAGCACCATCAAGGAAGTTGACACTCTTATGTTTAAAAGACACAGAATCGCCACCATCAAACATTGCATCGACCAGGTGGACACCGGTGCGGAAAATCCAAATCTACCCGCCTTCCTCAGCTTTCAGATAAACTTTACAGCAAGCTGTGATGAAGTTAGCCAGGAAATATTTAAGGGCATCATCAAAGACCTCCATCAGAAGGGGCTCCTCAAACTCATAACCACACTACAAGAAAAATGTGCACATATCATCCGCGAAAAAAACGAGGAAATCAAGGAAAAAGTAACCGAGACCAAAAACAAATTAACGATAAATGATCGTGAAGCGGGCACTCACCGGGCCAAATTCTTTTCTGACCTGGAAGTTCTCAAACAAAAGTGGACTGAGAAGATAAATCAATACAAAATGCGTGCACCCGCTAGACATGACGAGCAGAAACGCCCAAGGACCAGCCAGCCTAGACCATGGTCTAGAGGACGTGACAATGCTCAGAGAAGATCCAGGACCGCCCAACCGTCTATTATCCAAGAACTAAGGAAATTGACCAATATGCTACAAGATCCAACTCATAAGTGACATGATTAGTTACCTGTCATATAATCAATTGTGATGGTTGAACGCCATATCTTACGTGTATATACACGGGACAATTGATATTGTTGGACTGCTTATACATATGGTAAGATCTACCGCCATATCAAACTTATGAACCATTTAAAGAAGAAACGTTTATTGTACATTGAGCTTATAAACTTAAAACAAACATATTTTGTACTATGAAAACCTTAACATATTAAAATATATGTACAATAAATCATAGTTAACAGTCACAGTCTATCTCCATCTTCAACTATAGGTATGGTTTGGCATACCTCTTAGTGCATAAAAAGGCGTTTATTGATATAATCACCAAAACAAGGGAATTTACAATTACAATTGCACAATGTGCGCCAACTAGAAATTAACCTGACTGCAACATCTACAAGAATTCTCAGTGTCACTCTTAACCTCAGGGTTTGAACACACACCATATCCCCATCCTGCTGGACAGAACCTATACTTTGTCCCGCAGCAAGCTTGATGTCAAACAATATAATCATGCTTTTTACCTATTGCATCATGCAGGTATTCACAGATCTTTACTGCACCTAAGAAGTAAACGCATGCCTGCCGGTGCCCCAAGATAAACCCGCATGTTAATCTGCGCGGTTGAATTACACCCCCAGGGAACCCCTGTTGATCATACCTTGTTCACTTTTCTTAGCAATCAATGCAGATTTGGCTCCCAGATCGGCACTACGCTAACATGCCTAGCAGGAGGCTCTCCAAAACGCAAAAACAGAAAAAATATAAAATAAGACGAGCGAACAACAGAAAAGCTCGCAATATCAGGCGTATTAAACGCCTGTCAGAGAACACTAATAACAATGTTCTCAATCTCTCAGATTATACTCTGTCTGAAGCTGAAACATCTTTACTTAGCAAAGGTCTCAAATTTATTCCCACACCAGGGACGCAAAATATAAGACAGAATTTGATCTGTAGCTTCAATGAACTAGCCAGGAAAATGAGATGCAAGATACTCTTTCATACAAATGAGGATGATAAACAATTGCATCCCTTATATATCAATACGAATTATAATCCCGGCAACACAACGTGCACAGCTTTAGAAAATTATCTCTATGCAACCAAAATGGAGCTATGTAAAATCCACTTTCACAAATTTAGAGATAATTTAACAAAAAAAGAGCGGAATGCGCTGACCAGTCTCCGAAACGAGACAAACATTGTAATAAAAAAGGCAGACAAATCTACTACTGTTGTAGTTCAGAACCGCACAAATTATGCAGCGGAGGGACTAAGACAATTAAATGACGGCATTCATTACGCCGCAATTCACAAAGACAGAACACATGAAATACACGATCTGATCAACAAGATTGTATGTGAAATGCAAATCAATTCTGAAATCGACAGTATTACCCACAGATTTCTGTCGCAGTCCCTTACATTCCGCCCTGGCAGGTTATACTTACTACCTAAAATACATAAAATCTCCATTTCTGACATTGAAAACTTCAAAGGGGCCGAGGCCCTGCAGCGTGGAATGAGTATACCGGGGAGGCCAATTATCTCTCAATGCGCCTCCCCTACAATGCCTATAGGGCACTTCATAGACTACTTCCTTGTGCCATTAGTACAAAAACAACACACATATGTCAGAGATACCAAACACTTTATCAGCAAAGTTGAATCCCTGCATTTGAAACCCGAAACCCGGCTAGTTACCTATGATGTAACTTCCATGTATACTAACATGACAGCCACGGAACTTCTCCAATCTGCAGCAAAAGCACTCACAAAATTGAAACAAACTGATGTTACAATACCGATCCCAGATATCAGTTACCTAATCAAATTGTTACAAATTCTGTTAGAGAACAATGAATTTGAATTTAATGGTCACCTGTATAAACAAATATTAGGAGCCAGTATGGGGGCGGTCCCGTCCCCCGAAATATGTGACCTGCGCCTTTTTGATATCCTTGAAAATATTATCAAAAAATACAATCATAAAAACAAAATTCTGGCCCACTTTAGATACAGAGATGACGGGTTTATGGCAATGGACGCCACAGAAAGTGAAATACTGCAGTTTTTTGAACTTGCAAATCAGGAGCACAAATACCTGAAATTTACATACAATATTCACTTAAACGAGACTGTGTTTCTGGACACAAAAGTCTACAAAGGACAGAGATTTAAACAGTCCGGAGTCTTAGACTTTGAAACTTTCATCAAACCTACAGAAACATTTATGTATCTGCATCGCAGCAGTGCACATCCCAATGCTACCTTATTAAGGGGGAAATTATCCGTCATAAGAGGAACACCTCTGACCCACACAAAACCAAACAATTAATTTCACAGTTCAAGGAACGACTTATATCAAGGGGGTACTCGGAATCTGAAATAGACAGTATTGTTTCAGAAACGCAAACAATTAATAGACAGGAATTGCTAAAAAATAGCAAGACTAAATCTAACAGACCGCCCTCTGTGCTTGTTACCAAGTACAATCCTGCAGTCAGAAAACTGGGGAAAATATTACGCAAACATTGGAAATTAATTCAAAAGGATAAACAGTGTTCTGAGTTATTTCCTATGCCTCCTATCATTGGATACAAGCGAAATAGAAACTTAAATGAGCTCTTAAACTCGAACAGATAGCATATCAATTAACAAATCAGACAATCCGTGATAGCGAAAAGCATGCAAAGCAGATATCAGGGAACAGGTGGCTGTCAATTACCCAACACTCCAAACAAACAACCAATGCGCTGTCTCGAGCCACGTGCATTAACTCTTCCAGCGCGACTATGTGACGGTCGCCCCGCCCGATTCTAACGAATCTCAACTGCAGCTCTATCTAAGAGCCGTTTAGTACAACATGTACCACAAAACAAGACGAGCAAACAATTTAAGCTCGCACCACAGAGAATATTAATTCTCCTTGATATTGTCTTATTCATTGACATATCCAAAACATAAAGCTTTTTATTCACAAAGCTTAATTAGTGGAACAGTAACAGAATACATGTCCACTACAAATATTATTGCATGAAACACCACCATGCCAGAGATATACAACTAAAATATGATAACTTAATTTGGGTTGGACCTCTGATGAGTGGCAGACCCTGGAACATTCCTAAAATGTGCCCGAAACACCGATTCAGGTGTCAGGTCCTCTTCCGTCGGCACACGTGGTGCCGGGTGGCAACTTTATTTTACCCTGGCAGGTTATACTTACTACCTAAAATACATAAAATCTGCATTTCTGACATTGAAAACTTCAAAGGGGCCGAGGCCTTGCAGCGTGGAATGAGTATACCGGGGAGGCCAATTATCTCTCAATGCGCCTCCCCTACAATGCCTATAGGGCACTTCATAGACTACTTCCTTGTGCCATTAGTACAAAAACAACACACATATGTCAGAGATACCAAACACTTTATCAGCAAAGTTGAATCCCTGC